CCTGATTCCAGTGACGATTTTCATCTTTCTGATGGGTGGGTAAGTGCCAAATGGAAATCGAGGAGGTGATAGCAATAGTGGTAACTGTCTGCACTGTATAGATCCTAGAGAATGAATTACAAAAAAAAATTAAAAAAATACCACAATCAACTTTCTAGCTCAAGTGTTTCAAACGTTATTAAGTTTTAAGGACCTCAAAACCACTTTTGAAAGGGAATTCATAAATTAGGCAGAAAAGATGCAGATAGATTAGTTTTCAAAGCCTAGAACCCTGAAACACTCATTCCCTAGTGCCCAGCCAGCCAGGGAAAAAGCTCATCAACAGTGTTAACGAGTGTCTCAGGGAAAATAAGCACCTGGTTGACTATGACGGGCATGATTGATGGTGTGCATACTGTTCAGTGCACAAAATAACAAAACGTGGGTGCAGGAATGCCTCATCTGCGTGTCAAGGACTGCTTCAGAAAGGACCACACAGAGAGAAATATGTATCAACGTAAAAGATTTTGTAAATAATGTGTTTGACATTTGTGTATATATAGGCTTACATATGCAAAGAAACTGTTTTATTCGGTTGACATTAACGTTACAAAAATGTCACTAAAAGGAACATTTTCAAAATGTAAAATGCATTCTGATAAAAAATGGAAAGACTTTCTGATAATTGAAGCAGAATAGGATACCAGCTACACAGACCATATGGTAGTCTGATAAGTTCAGATTTGGTGCATATTTAAAAAAAAAAAAAAAGGATTTTGATTTCATATTACCAACAAAATTTAAATTAGTATTGTCTAATTGTTCTTCCTTTTACATATTATTATTATCTTAAAAAACGGTATTAAAACTTCATCAAAATTCATTAATGGATAAGATCACCCTAAAATATTTCCTAAGGCCGAAAACCGGTCTGTCACAAACGTGGAAAACCGCCTGGCATAGAAAGAGTTAAGTAATCATTTGCAATGTTGTGCGTTGAAAGATGTGCTGATGTCATGTTAATATTACGCATTACTTATATACCAAATGTCACTTTTAATGACTATGACACTAAAAATCAGAATCTCATTAATCTTAATGATACAGCTATTAACATGTAAAGGATATTTTTAAAAGATGATATTTGATGGAATTGATGTTAACGCCTCTGTTAAGATATTTGAAATTTCCTTGTTCAGAGGTGAAGACAGCTTTTGTAAATTAGGCTAGTTAACTCTGTATAATGTGGGACTAATAAAGATCTTTGTCCCTTCCAGAGAATAATTTACCTACATTGAAATTGCTCTCTGGTCAACTCAGGAGTAACCAATGGGAAGTAAATCATGGTCATAAGGCAGCCCTAAAATTTGAAGCCCTTGATTCTGACGAGAGTGACCTCGTTACATATATGTTAGTTGGTAACTGCAGAGGTTGTGTTATAAATTCAACAACTGGAGTGTTAACTTACACTCCAGATTTTAACAATCCTAATAGCATTGGGTGAGATATTTTAATAAATCTCTTCTGGTTTGATTTTATTTGTTATTTCTTTTGTAATTTTAAATCTTATAATATTTTTAAATCTTTAAATGTTCATGTAGATTATTATATACATGCAAAAAAAGGCAAGACTAGTCACAGTTTTGACATAAACAAAATGAATTATTCATTTATTACACATGATTTGTCAGGAAATTAAGAACGAATTAGCATTTTACACAAGGTATATAAGAAGGTGGACAATTTTTAGCTTATTAACAATATCATTAGCAGCGTTTTGAAATTTGTAAAAGAAAATTAGCACAATGAATGCCAGGGGAGTTTAAAAGAAATTTAAACAAATGTTTTTTTAAAAAATTCCACACAGATTAAATTTTTAATTTTAAAAATAACAATTTTTTTAAAAAGAAATTTAAACAAATTATTGGAAAAAAATATTTAAAATTACACCCTTGATTATATGATACTTAATTTTAAAAATAACCATTTCTTTTTTTTTTTTAATTCTACAGACATAATTTTTATTACCGTAAATTTTTTCTAATCGCATAAATGATGATATTTAAGAATTCAGGCTCAAGATTCAAAGGGAGGTCGGTCAGCTATAAGATATGTTGATCTGGTTGTGTGCCCTGACTGCAGTGGTCATGGCAAGTGTGACAGAACCAGGTTTAGAGATGAAGAGAAGGAATCGGGACGATTTGTTATCAACACATGTATATGCTGGCCAGCTTATACAGGTATGGATACCCAACAATCCTTATTTGTGCCTATTCAATTTATTGGAGTACAACTCCAAGCATCTGAGTTGATCCAAATAGTCTCCTCAACTTTGCCCATATCATTGTACATGCACAATTTTCTTTTACTTTGAAACTTTTTCTTACTTTTTTTAAAGGTGAAAACTGTGAAGCTGAACTTAATGCCTGTGAAGATCACCCGTGTCATAGCAAACAAGTTTGTGTTGATCTAACCGCAGCAGAGCAAGGAAATAACACAAAAGGCTACTCGTGCGGGGGTTGTCCAGATGGATTTAAAGAAATGGACAATATCTGCATTGGTTGGTTTGAAGATCTTTATTTTAAACTAAAAGTGAAGTTTAACATTCACATCTTGTGTGATGACCAGTGGGGTGGGGGTGGTGATGGGGGTAGCACACTTTCCCCGGGGCATGATTTTAAAAATGCAGTGACTATTTAAGAATATAAGTGTTTAATGTTAATGAATTGTTTTTTGTATTCCATTGTTTGACATATTGTTTGAATTGTTGCTGAGTGGGAGTTTCTTGTGTACGACAACAACCAATTGTTTTTGTTTTACTCTAGTCATTCTTGAGCCATCTTGTCATTTTTTGGGAGTCTTAAACTTTATCTCCAGACCTAATGTGAGCAGTCAAGAATTTCTTAATTTTTATCTGAAATCCAATTATTATTGATAGGATTTTTTTAAAAGTTAGATTACATGCCTCACATATAACAGCCTTAAAATACAAAAAACCACCAATGTTAAGTCCTACTTGATGTTTTTAATTTTTCACCCAGATAAAAATGAGTGCATTGTCAATGGAACTGGAAGAGCCTGTCAAGAACATGCTTTCTGTGAAAATTCAGTTGGTTCATACACCTGCACTTGTGAACTGGGTTACAGATCTGATCCCAAAAATGTCTCAAGTTGCAGAGGTTACATTTTGAGTTTTAAAAAAAAAATATATTCCTGACCTACCCTATAAAATTAGTATTAAATATACATTAGTCATTTTTTAGTGTTCAAGATTAGTGCCTGAGTAATGATCTTTATTAGGGTATTTTCATAATTCTCACCCTTAACCAAACTGTAAATTTACTGCTTGATGCAGATATTGATGAGTGTGCAGAGAGAATACATACTTGCCAGCAGCTTTGTGAGAACACAGATGGCAGTTTCAACTGTTCATGTTATGGTGGGAATGATCTTCAAGCTGATAAAAAGTCATGTGTTTTAAGTAAGTCATGAGTTGCTCATGATCTTACAGTCTCTGGGGTGGACAATTTGATCTTTTTAGACAAACTACTCACGCCAACACTTACAAACGCAAGTGTCTTCAATGTCTTACCGAGTTTATGTTTCCCCCTTTAGAGAGGATTTTTATGGCTTAGGGAGAAGTATTCTTATGATGCAAAAAAAACAATTTAAAAGTGTGTAATTAACTTAAATATCAAGTAATATTTTTACATGACAATATTATTTAAAATAAAAATATAACCAAACAAAAAGAGGAAAATTATGGAATGATACTTTAAAAGACCAAGACAAATTATTGCACTTAAATCTCAGAAAGGAAACATGTTTCCCTCCAATAATCTAGCTTGGATCAATTAATACTTCACAAATTTTGTATTACATCTTTTTAAAAACTAGTTTAAATCCTTTTCCATTATAATGTAAAAGCACTTGTAAGTTATAACATTTTTCATATTATTGTAATTGGTAATCATCTAAAAAATAGTTGTATTTGTATGCACAGTTCAATTACTGTAATGAATGAATTTTTTTAAAAAAATATTTCAGACCCTACAAATAATGAGCTGTGTAAGGACTGTCAACAAGTGTGTGTAGTAACAGATGGTGTGCCCAAATGCACTTGCAATATGGGTTACCAACCTAGTAATCATGACAGGACTCGTTGCATTGGTGAGCGATGAATCATAAATAAAGTTTTACTTTCAAATAAATTTTTTTTTCGGTTCTTTGGATCACGACTGTTGGACTTAACACATTTGAAAATTGCAATAACTCACTGTTGATATAAAAATAATTTTGATAATGATTATTTATATAGTAGAAAAATGTTAATACTGAAAATGTTTTGGCAGCTATCAACATTTGTGTAGTATAAAACTATTAATAAATGCTGTCATTAAAATCACCCCAGATATCAATGAATGTACATCAGGCAACAAACCCTGCAGCCAATCATGTGAGAATACAGTAGGTGGTTTCTTGTGTTCTTGTTACCCTGGTTACAAACTGGATCAGGATGGCGTCTCATGTAATGGTATGTGCCACTTGATTATTTTATACCAACTTAAAATAATTTGTCCCTTCAACTTTATTTATTTCTGGTATATATTTTTAATTAACTGTACTTTTCATCTAAATAAATTTATTGCAATGTTTTTTTAAAATAAACAAAAAAAAAAAAAAAAACCTGCTGATTTCTGTACATCAAAATACAGATGTGATCTTTTGATTTTTTTTTTTTTACCATAGATGAGAATCTAAAATACAATCCATTGTTTGTCCTGTTCCACATGGTCCCCTTTCTTCCATCTATCTTAAATCTATCTTACAAATGAAATATTTGCAAGCTCTTTGAAACTGGAATTAATGAATGAAATTTTATATTTGTAATGACAGAGTGCCCCCAACCCTACTATGGTACTAACTGCTCCAGTTTCTGCGTCTGCAATGGTCTTGGAACATGCCACCCTGTGAGAGGCTGTGGATGCAATACTGGGTGGACAGGAACATATTGCAATAAAGACATCGATGAATGTACCACAAATGCTAACTGCACCGTGGGACAACGCTGTGTTAACACATTGGGCTCTTTTGAATGTGTCTGCTCACCTGGCTACATCATGGGGAACAACATGTGTCAAGGTATTGCTTAAATAAATGTGTAATTGTATTTATTTGTTGTTTTTTGTGTGCTTTGTTAACATTCTTAAATTATAGTGTTTAGGTAGAATAAATGTGATTTGTGAACTAAAGAATAGAGATGGTCAGTTAAGTATTTTTGTATCTACAGTTTTACATGCAGCGAGTTGAAACATTTTAGGCTCCTAAATTTATTTTACAACGTCATGCTGAAGTTCATCTGTTTAAACAGTGAATTCAATTATATGCATTTACTGTTAGTGTATCCCTAATTAATAAGGTACAAGTGAAAACAAAACAGACTGGGACCAACCAAGAAGATAGTTTATTACTTTTTAATTGGGTCCAAATAAAAAACATAGACTTTTGACCAACCAGCAAGGTAGTTTATTACTACTCAATTAGGTTAATATGAAAAAAAACAGACCTGTGACCAGAAAGGTATCACTCAGATTTCATGAGTCTGACATTGCTGCAATGGGTTAAAATATGGGCCGTGAAGTGATCATAACATGAAAACAAGCAAATATTGAGTTAAAAAATGGAAGCTCTTTGCCCATCTGCAAAACTTCAAACTCATGAATGTGTAAATATAGCAACAAAAAAAAAAAAAATAGATCCTATGTTTAAAACCATGTAGGCCTACAACAATTTTAAAACAATTTTATATTAACACTTTCTTTAATATTAATGCAATCAAATTGTTATTTTTTTAAAATTGCTGATGCAGATATCAATGAGTGCCTGGATGTACTAGACAACAACTGTCATTTATCAGTTGAAGACTGTGTCAACAACCAAGGCAGCTATTCTTGTGTTTGTAGGAAAGGCTATGCCAGGAATAAAAATAACATATGTGAAGGTAACTCTTAGGCTCAGTGGCGCAGCGAGGGGATTGCAGGGGGTGCAGACCACACCGGGTGACACCATTTTAGGGGTGACATCCAATCAGAGGCGTAGCGAGGGGGGGGCAGGGGGGACAGATGTCCCCGGGTGCCAGCTAGTTAGCGGGGCCAAAATGTGCTTTGATATTATTTTATTGCTGAAAATAATGGGTTTGAGAGTTGAAAAAAAATAAAAAGGGGCGTTTTAAAATGGATCTTGTCCCCAGGCACGAATCTTGTCCCCGGGCTCCAAACACCCTCGCTACGCCTCTGCATCCAATTGACAAATTGCATATTCACAGAGCACACACTGCTCGGTCTAACCAAGATTCATAAAAGGATAACCGATCACACATACATTTGTTACAAATGTAACCTATCCAAATTCGTGCTTTATTAAAAAAAAAATCATGGTTGATACCTCATAAATGATATGACCCTATGCTTAGGTCAGAAAAATAATGTCATTATTCCACGCTGCCGATTGAAGTGTTCAGTAACCCGTAAGTGACAGGAGGCTATGTTTCACTCAATTCTGAGAAATAGGGCTTTCCATTGATTCCAAATTAAATACGGTGTGGTCGGGCATAAGTATAAGAATCGGTAACAATTAAATACATTAAAAATGAAATTTTACCCATTTATATGGTTAAAAATATATTATGTTACACAATTTTCAATATTTTAATGATCAATTCTTATTTATTTAAAATTAAATCAAGAAAGGTTTTTTGAAGACATATATAATATTAGATATCGAAACCCACAAATACTCAAAAATTAATATTTTCCTCCATTCGTCACTAGTAAAGCCCTTTATCATTTGAGCACGATTGTCATATTTCGACTGCTGGGTTTTCCCTGCTACCTTTGTATGTTGTATTTTGGACAGTGCTCTAACTGTTGTTTTTGAACCGTCATCAATAATTATTTTGTTTGTTGTCTTGAACATGAAAAAATTAAAGCATTTTTATTGTTCAAGATTTTTATGTCATGCGACCGAGCGTGCACCAATCTAAACGGCCAAGTGGCTGTGAACAGTGAAAAGCAAAAAAGAAAATATGCAACTCACTAAAATCTCTACCAGAATACATGCTTTGATATCAAGAAAACAAATGATGTCCAGGGTCAGGGTTCATAAAAAAAACCTTCCTCAGCCTACCATTGATACTGATTCTCCCGATACGCGCAGCATGCATTCTTTTCAGCAAATAGGTGAGAAAATGGAAGAGATTGACATGAAAACACAACTAAATCCATGGATTGTTTGGAAACAGAAATGTCTGCTGATTATGTTGATTAAAACCAAGATACTGTAAGTGTAATGGTTAATGACAAAGACTCGCACATTTTATCAGATGTTTCTCTCTGGAATGTACCAGTTCCAGATTATTCTGAAATGATTAAAATACAGAGTAACTCGTTTCAGAACAAGGGCGGAATATTCAGCATAGTAATAGTAACAAGGCAAAATGCGAAATATAACGGAGTTGTTCGCCAACTAACAAAACAATGGATCTACGGGATGATGCAAAATGGCAAGAAAATAAATTGCGGTTGTGGATGGTTTATTCACTGCTCATTCAGATAGAGTATTGCTTTTGCTGCAGATTGTTTGCTGTTAATGTTACAGAAACAACATCCAAATTGGTTACTGGCTAGAATCTCTTCCAATACTCTCGCTAAGACTTTAATTTCTTCTTACTATCTATTCGTCTCTGGCTTCACATGAGCGGAGCTTTCCAAAACTAAGGCTTATCAAGAAATATTTATGATCAACCATAGGACAGTCTAGGCTTTCTGATGTGGCTATGCTATCAATTTAAAGTGATACAATGAAGGTGATTGGTTTTGATCAAGTAATTGAGAGTGATTGGTTTTGATCAAATAATTGAGAGTGATTGGTTTTGATCAAGTAATTGAGAGTGATTGGTTTTGATCAAGTAATTGAGACTTTTGCAACTTTGAAGACCAGGAAAGGAAATTTTTAAATAAAGTAGATTTAATGTAAAGATATCTATAACTTAAAAATGTTTTTAAGTACATTAACCTCATGACCTTCGATTTATGTGCTTTTGTTCTTGTCATTGTTATACTGTAAACTTATTTTAACAAGAATAAATCCATCATGGAAGTTTGGGGGGGGGGGGTGACACCGTGAGTTTACCGCACCAGGTTCCACCAACATTAGCTTCGCCACAGCTTAGGCTTGAAGTTGAAGAAGTTTTAAGATTGATTTTGTTGGGACATAAAATCTTGAACTATTATAAATTATACTCAAGTGCTTTGATGCAAAGTCTTGCTGTTGAAACACATTTTTTTAAAAATATCTGATAATCTATGTAATGTTTTTAATATAATTTTTAAAAAACCAGATGTTGATGAATGCACAATGAAAACTCATAACTGTAACCAGCTCTGTGAGAACACCCCTGGAGGTTTCAACTGTAAATGTTTATATGGTTTCAAGCTTGATATTGACAGGATTAATTGTGTTACAGGTTGGATTAGCTAGTGTTAAACAGAAACTCATTCTCATTTGATGGATAAATTTTAATGTACTATAATATATTTTTACCGTTTGCTTGTGTTGTATTAATCAAGAATAGATGTAAAAATGTATAGCATTTAGAGTTTAACATTTTTATAGCCTATAATAAAATTTATTGTTAAGCATTCTTTGCTATCACTAGTCTTATGCAGATATTATCAGATAATATATGTTTCCTTTTGATACAAACAAAATGGAACTGTTTTTTTCATTACATTGTACATTTTCATTTTCAGCATATAAAATAAATAGATATTTAAACCAAGACAACATTTTACAATTATAACAATTTAGCCACAGGACATCTAAATTATTTCTGTAGCATAGAAATAATCAGCCATAAATGAACTCCTTTAGTGACAATAATGACTTAATCAGTGATCATTTATATTTGTTGACTACTGTGGAGCCTTCAGCTAAATTCATTTTTTATATAATTCAGTAGCTTTATAATTCCATTTACTGAGCTTCTATTTGCACTATTCAAACACCCTTTTTTCCACAGGTGATTCAAATGTTTGTCCCATTGACAAGAAGCTAGAATGTGAGCATTTCTGTGCCTTGCAACTCACCACAAAAACTGCCTACTGTGCTTGTAGATCTGGATATTTTTTGGAGAATGAGAAGAACTGCAAAGGTACATACACATTTTTAAAAAGATCCAATAATCACTTGCATCCTGTAGAGCCATCATAAAGCCTTTAGCTTGGACCTAATTCAATGTTATTTTATTGAAATTTTAAAGTTTTTCATAAATTCTACATTGAATTGAAGAAAAAAAACACATGAATTTTTTTAAAAAATCTGCATCATAAATAATTTTAATAAATCAATTAATTTGTGCCAAAATAAACTTAAAATAATCAATCCAACATTTGAACTGATAAATATAAATTGTTCTGTTCTCACTTGCAGATATCAATGAATGTGACTTTAATCACTTAAATCTGTGTGACAATAAATATAACTGTGTCAACACTGAAGGCAGTTACAACTGCTCTTGTCTCCCTGGATCAAAATTGGAAAATGATAGAAGATCTTGTTCTGGTAAGAATAGATTTGTTTGCATAATTCACAATGTATGGCCTTATTGACTCCTGTCTCTGCTTTAAAAAACATAGAAATACATTGTTGGATTAGATATTTTTAAGGAACAGCTGTAACAATTATCTCTTGGTTCAATGTTAACGTGCAGCGTGGTAGGAGACCTAACACATGTTAGATAATAGATGTTGCATTTGTCACTCTTTACATTTTCAGAATGCGGCCAAGGAAAGTGGGGCTTGGAATGTAGGACTGACTGCGCCTGCAGCACAGGTGCAGACAGGTGTGATCCTCGGAGAGGATGTATTTGTAAACCTGGTTATACTGGTTAGTCCATGTTTACTTAACTTTTGTATCACTTTGATTTATTTTTTTTTAAAGTCAATCTTCTGATATAGAAGTAATTTCAATTTAAAAATGTTGCTAATGTTATTCATGTACTAAATATTTTGCTAATGTTATTCATGTACTAAATATTTTGCTAATGTTATTCATGTACTAAATATTTTGCTAATGTTATTCATGTACTAAATATTTTGCTAATGTTATTCATGTACTAAATATTTTGCTAATGTTATTCATGTACTAAATATTTTGCTAATGTTATTCATGTACTAAATATTTTGCTAATGTTATTCATGTACTAAAAATTTTGCTAATGTTATTCATGTACTAAAAATTTTGCTAATGTTATTCATGTACTAAATATTTTGCTAATGTTATTCATGTACTAAATATTTTGCTAATGTTATTCATGTACTAAATATTTTGCTAATGTTATTCATGTACTAAAAATTTTGCTAATGTTATTCATGTACTAAAAATTTTGCTAATGTTATTCATGTACTAAATATTTTGCTAATGTTATTCATGTACTAAATATTTTGCTAATGTTATTCATGTACTAAATATTTTGCTAATGTTGTTCATGTACTTAACTCTATATCATTGATTTTTTTTAAAAGTTAAAGTTATTTTCTCTATCCTAGGCACTCATTGTGAGAAAGATGTTGATGAATGCATCACTGGTCTGCTCTTTTGTAAAGCTGGAGAGAATTGCAGAAATACATTGGGTGGTGCATATTGTCACTGCTATGATGGGTATAGTAATATTTCTGGGATATGTAAAGGTGAGATACCAGCTAGAAATATCTAATACTTAACATGGTTCATTGTCCTTAAATAAAGAACATACTTCTACTTTACTTATGTTGATAATTACTATGTTTTAGATGTTGATGAGTGTGCCAGACCCAATTCTTGTGAGCAAGTTTGTGAAAACTACCCAGGGGGCTACTCATGTTCTTGCCACAAAGGCTACACGTTCAATAACACTGATGGCAGATGTCGAGGTAATTTCTAAGATTTAAGACAAAGGCTTTACAGGTAACATTCGGTCTATGATGTTGACAGATACTGGGCCCTTAATATATAGTAGTAGAAAATATCTTGCATTAACATTAGCACACAGAAAATTTCACAAGAAAATCCACCATAAGTGTCCAATGAATTACAACCTTTTCTGTGATTTATCTGTAGTCTGTATTTTTTTCTCCAGATGTTGATGAGTGTAATCAAAATATAGATAGATGTGAGCAGATCTGTGAAAATATTGGCGGTGGATACCGTTGTGCGTGTCAAAGGGGATTCCAGTTGGAAAGAGATGGTGTTTCTTGTAAAAGTAAGCTTTGGAATATGTGATTTCAGATGAAGGAAACAAAATTAGATTCATAATTTAAATTGTTAGTTTATGAATTTGAGTATGTCGTAATTATTATTTTTCTTTATAATATGTTCAAACTGATTATCTTTTTGAAATAAGATATTATGTTATTAGCCATTGTATTACTTTAAGAATGGATATGTTTGCAGCAAGAAAGTGAAAAGTCTTTTTTTTTGTGTGTGGAATATTTATGTTAGAAATCCAAGTCTTTCCAAAGAATATCTTAATCTTATGAATTCTTTGTTAAAGGGGTGACTTACCTGTTAAACATTTAATTTTTCTACTTGCTAGTTGTTACAGAATGTGACAGCAACAGATGTGAGTACAAGTGTGCACAGATTGGAGATATTGATAAATGCATCTGTCAGCATGGACAACAGCCAGAGCATGGACAACAGACAGAGAATGGACAACAGCAAGACGATGGAAACGATTACAGTTGTACAGGTATACATTTATGCTATAAAACTTTAAGAATATGTACAATCTGCTGTAAGTTTTGAGACTTAAAGTGAAAATAAACTTTAACTATAAAATCATATAAATGCTTAGGTGCACCATTTCTTTGTTCATGAGATGAACGACACATTCTTGTGCTGAAAGTAGTTATCTTTAAATTTCATTTTAAGCTCAGGCTCTTTTATGCATTTTTTATTATAAGGGAAATAGTGCTTAAGCAACATCTTTACTTTTTTATGTTTGTAACGTTGCCTCGTTACCAACATTACAGTATTAAAGAGCTTAAATAATCTATTTTTAGACATGAATCTGTGTCAGAAGAATCCGTGCTTGTATGGCTGTGTAGAGATAAATGCCAATACAAGTATTCAATGCGTTTGTCCAGCAGGGAAAAAACTGGCCACAGATGGCATTACATGTCAAGGTAGATTTCAATGCATTGCCTGGTCACTATTTGGTTTAAGCAAGGCCTGAAACGCACTAATTTTTTGTTTAAAAATTACAATTACTTTCAAAAGTATAAAAATGTTAAATTTGGAAACTTAAATTAAAATCAAGACATTTCAAAAAAAAATAATTCAATAATCTATAGGTTAATGTTAACTTAATTCATCAACACATTCCTTAATGAGAGTTCCCATTGTGGATGGACACAGAAAGAAGTCATACAAAGTGTTCTCTTTTTTTCTTTCCATTGTATTAGGACATCAGTGCGCTGTAAGCATGCTAAAATAGCATGGACACAAGCATTATAAAAGCCTTTTTAATAATAATAATGATAATAATAATCAGATATGTATCGGTTAATGTAAACTAAATTCATTTGATAAGATATGTAAGGGTTAATGTTTATTCCTTCAAAGAAAAATGGACAAATTAAATAGTTAATAAAGTATGTAGTCTTATATCTTCCATGGAAAAATATACTTATGTTATATACTTATACTAATGCGTCCGTATTTTAGACTGTGTTGAGGGCAGATATGGTCATGGATGTAACAAGAAATGTAAATGCAATCCTCTGATGACACAGTCATGTGATAAGGTATGTCAGAACAACATGTAAAACTGATCTCTGATTCCCTTTTCTGGGCATTTAATAAGTCTATTTTGGTCATGGTGTCAAGTTAATTGAGAGTCTAAATTTTACACTTTTTTTGTTGTCATGCATTCATTATTGTGTTCAAGAGATAGAAGTTATCTTTACTCAAAAATTTAAATGTTATTTAATAACAGTAACTTCTTCCAACAGGTTGCTGGAAGATGTGTTTGTAAAGATGGCTGGGCATCAGACAATTGTGGAGATGATATTAATGAGTGCAACTCTGCTTCAAACTGCCAACCAAATTCTGTTTGTGAAAATACACCTGGCAGCTATATTTGTAAATGTAACAAAGGTTATTTTACAAATGGTAATGTATGTAAAGGTAAGTTTCTAACACATAGGTAATTTACTAAAACATTGAAAAAAACTGTGTACCCATGAAACAAAATAAGTCTCTCAAACACATGTAAATTTTGATTCCAATTTTTTTTTTTAAATGTTTGAAAATCAGTTAATTTTGAATACCAATTTTCTTAAGAGTAAATGCACATAAATAAAGCATTAGAGTTGTGTTAAAAACCACATAAAATTAACATAAAAATTATTAATTCAATTTTTTTTTTTTTTAAATTTCTCTGCCTTTCTGGCTATATTCTTGTTGCTTAACATCACACAATCTTTAATTGGTAGCATGTCCAAGCAATAGGTATGGAGAGGAATGTGTGCGGCAATGTGATTGTGACCTGACACACAGCTCATGTGACAGAGTGTCTGGGGACTGTGTTTGTGATTTTGGCTGGAATGGATCACGCTGTGACACAGACATCAATGAATGTGAAAGTTTGAATAGTTGTACTGCAATGAATAAATCACATGGGGTAATGAAACATGATATTTTTCAGTAATAGTATTCAATTTTGTATAATTTTTAAATCAGTTTTAGGGAACTTAAATTATAACAGTAGGGCCTATTGCTAATTAGATGTAATATAGTTAAGACTGTTCAAGCCATGGGCAGGGAATAAAAAGTAAAAGCTATGTAACATCAAAACAAAATGTCTACGTCATCTTAAACTTGTCATCAGCTAACAGAAAATACAATACAAGTAAAACATACATTAAAAAAAAAAAATTAGCTAACAGAAAAATTTAATGCAGTGGCACTGAGAAAATAAACCGGACTTCAATAAAATTTTATTTTTTTATTTCCTTGTAAACTAAGCTTAGAAAAGAAATTTTCTGTAATTTTAAAAAATATACTTTTCATATTTTCATTTCATAAGATTTGTATTAACACCCCTGGTAGCTTCAAATGTGGATGTAAAATTGGATATGAAGAAACAGACGGAAAATGCGTTGGTAGGTTTTGTTTCTTTTTGTTTTTTCTGAAAATTAAAAAAAATATTTTTAGAGAATTCATTAGATTTCATTGTTATTAACGTTCAAGTATAGTATAATGTATATATGTCTATCATTAATTTCTTTTGCATACCTGTAATTAGAATGTTGATTTAGAGGTTTTTTTTAAAGCTATACCCCCTGTCTTACTCAAATTTGTTATTAATGGATGATTCTCAAACTGGCCAGTAAGCTCTCAAAACCTTTACCTTTTTTAATTTGTAAAACAATACAATATAATCATCTTAACACTTTATTGTTCATAATCATCTGCAGACAGAAATGAATGTGAATACAGTTTCAGCAACCAGTGTATGCAAAACTGCAACAACACAGACGGTAGCTATGCATGTTCATGCAATACTGGATACACACTGGGATCCAATGGATACACATGTGAAGGTGGTTATTTCATATTTATATAATCAACTATAATACCGTATTAATTTGTAGTTATTAACTAATTCAGTTGTGTCATAACTAGACAATGGTGTTTGCGGAAATGTTTTCTGATGACTATTAACATAATGAATATGTAATTGGGGAAAGAATAAACTTTCATAATTCAGTTTATTTAAAATGTGTAGTTATGAAAAAAACCATTATTATATAATTTGTTACATATTATGTTACAGTAGGCCCTATATGTAGATTGTTGAAGCTACAATGGTTTTTGCTCTCATTAATTTTTTTCTCTATAAAAAAAATGATTCCATGACGATAGGCAGAGATATATTATGTACTTTAGAATAACTATAATGTATTGTTTCAATGCTGTAGATATAGATGAATGTGAACTGGGCACAAGTGGCTGTCAACAAAGGTGTACAAATGAAGTGGGAACATTTGTGTGCTCATGCAATGATGGCTATGAAATAGATAAAGATAAGCTTAAGTGTTATGGTTAGTCTGAATTTTAACTTGTGTAATGTGCTTTAACTGGTATTATTATTGCATTTGACTTGAATAAACCTTTTTATTTTTTAAAAATCATTATTATAGCGCATTAAGTACATTACAACTTTATGGAAGATAATAAAGCTATAAATTTTAGATAGAAACCTTCTTGGGCTCCTAAGTATTTCATATGGAAGTTCTAAAAGTAAATATTAGAAGAGATTTTTTTAAAATTTTAAATAAAATTGATTTTGAATATGTAGTTTTCAAAATTTAAAACCTTTAAATTTGTGTTTGTGTACTCAATATTTATATGACTGTTGCATCTTTCATTATTTTATTTCTTTCAATCCAAACATATACCTTATTGTCATCCCTAATAGAATCAGCCAGTTACAGTCTCCAAGTAACGCTTGACATGGATGTATCAGGAAAAAATCTTAAAGAGCAACAAGGAAAAGCTTATCTGGAACTCAAAGGGTTGTTAGAACCTGTGGTGAGTTAAGTCAGTGAATGTTGTTGTTTGACCATTATTCAATCTAGAACTCAAAGGGTTGTTAGAACCTGTGGTGAGTTAAGTCAGTGAATGTTGTTGTTTGACCATTATTCATGAAATTTTATATCCCTGAAATGTTAAATTCAAGCAGAGGCATGCTGTTCCTTGTACTTTCAATATATGATGATAATTATATAGCCTAAAAGTTTTTCAAATCTTAAGCCTTGTCTAATGTGCTGTAAATAGGTCTCACATGCGCTCTAGTAATATTTGAAAGTAAACTCCAATCCTGACATTACTGGGGCTAACAATCAGTTTCCTTGAGAGCAGCAATATTTTGACAGTTTATATTTGAAAATCGTTTGCATTTATTGAGTTTTGTAGATGCAACAATGAGACATTGATTCAAATTTTAGTTTTGTATATATTTTCAGTTGAAGGAGAAAATCCAAGCTGAGGTTCAAGGGCTCAGAGATGTTTTCATAACTAAATTGAGGTGGGTAAGGCTTAGCAGATTTAAGGGAACTGAATTTTAATATACTGACATTAGCTTCTTCTATATAACAATAGTTTTTTTTACTACATTTAGTCTTAAGTATAAACATAATTTAACTTTTAATCTTGAAAAAAATTGATATTTTTTCAAATACAGTACCCCCAAGTAAAGCAATGTACCATTTTAAGCTGTCATAGCTATAGTGTATGATCTGTCTTCTACAGACATGGCAGTGTTATAGTGGACCTGTCTGTTATTATTGACATCGTCACCTCTCCCAATGCTTCCAGTAAAATGGTGGAAGCAATAATGAAAATTGCACAAGAGGGTTTGCTGGTTAATGGAACACACTACAAAGCTGAAGTTAAGGTTGGAAACATAACAGGTACAAATGGCTAAATGCATTCATTTGATAAATGTAAACTTATGGATACATTGCGTGTCCATAAATCTTAATTAATTTTAATTTTGAATTTATTAACTATAATTGTAGAGATGATGAAGTATTTGGCTTTTTAGAAATGGCTCACACAAAAATGCTTCCCTTTATAAGAAAAGCTTCTTTATATAAAAAAAATGCTTTTCTCAATGAAGTTTTTTGGCACTATCTTATGCTGAAAATCTCTTGTTATTATACATAACATATCTCAATCTGCAGTGCCTCCTATCCTTGAAAAATGTACCATTTTGAACGCGATAGAGAATTGTACGTCTGACACATATTGCAGCATAAACAAGGATGGTGAAGCTTATTGCGGGGAAGCACTAATAAAGAGGTATTAGTGGTATAACCTATTACAAAAATTTGAATAAGCAAACATATTATATGGAAGGACTTTAAATTATTGTTTCAGTAATATTAAATACTGGCCCTGGATAAAAAGCTGTTGAGATAATATTTGTGCATATTTATGAACAAAAATACTTGCTATAAAATTAGTTCTCATACCGTGAGAACCAATCAAATTAATTTTGTGTTGCTTTGCTTTATTGAAATTCAATTGCACATTTTCATATGTGTGTGTAGTCCATTTGGTCATATTTAAAATTTGATATGTATGCATAAAATGTTTTATACAGTAAAATTTAAAAGTAGCCTAGATATGATCAGTTGCATCACATGTATGCATTAGTGGCAAAGCTAAAATAGTTCATTAAATAATTTTTAAAATGTGTCCATAGGAACCATGGTACTGATGAAGGTAAGGGCTTTTCTTTTAATGCATTATCCTTAGGCACATGCAAGGCTTATTTAACATAGAAGAGTTTGCTTGTAAGCTGTTAAGAAATAGCCTGTTAGTGTAAAAAAAGTCAATATTTATTTCAACCATTATGATGATGACTTCACAATGCTTTTGGAAGCTATGCTTAATTTGTTTTAACCTCATGGTGTTATATTTTTTATGCCTAATATATTGTAATTTAACAAATTCTCCCTATATAAATTAACTTTTAAAATTGCTATGTATCGGATGTATGAATTCTGTCACTGCATTTTACATTCATTAAAATTTGTATATAATAAAATAAATAATTTACAATAGTCACATTTGCGTTACTTTGATGTTACCACTCTAGTGCGATTTGTAAAAAATTATTTTTAACTACTTCTTACTGGACATGAAAAAAAAAGTTCCCCAAAATTTCATTTGTCATGTTAGTGAATCTGGAATCAAATAATTTATTTCTGACGCACTAACAAAATGCTTCCACTAAACTTTAACAAATTTTGTTTCCATTTAGACAATCTTCCCCTTATCATTGGATTAGGAGTTGGCATACCTCTTGCTGTTGCTCTAATTGTGGCCATTGCGTGTGCCATGTGGTACAAGAAAACATACAAGAAACAGAGAAGGTTAGAACACAAAATGACGTAGAGATTAATTAATATCAGTTTAACCATAAACATTCTTGTAGAGTGGAATGTGCGCGCAACATCAAAATATTTGTTAAAATATAGATAGTAATGGAGAATTAATTAACAAAGTTTGCATAAAGTGTCTTCCATTACTAATACTGTTAGACATTCATTCACCCTGTGGCGAGTTATTGTTAAACTTATTTTGTGAAGATTTCACAAAGATTTTAGAAAATGTTTCTTCGTTGTGAAAACTTAACATGAAACTTTTTAATATCCATATATTTTTTTAAAAATTAACATTATTAGAAAAATTTAATATAATTTTTTAAAGTGTTCTACTAGGTGCACATTAGACATTACACTTACATGTAAAACTTTCTTTTTTATATTATAGTGTGAATGAAGAATATCAGGAGAATCGGGATGCAAATCCTGAGGAATACTACGATTCAGATCCAGTGCCCTGGCCCCCACTTTCATTGGAACAGAAAAACTTTGCTAAAAAGAAATAAATCCTAATGTAGGACACCTAAGATATGCACTATTTTTCACTGGTTTCTTTTGATACATGCCGAAGAAACATGAAGTAAAAAATAATTTACTCTTCTTCTATATACAGATTTTCACATAACTTTTAAAACTTAATCCATCATGATTTCTTGAAGTATACTTTTTTTTAGGTAAAGGTAACTTATTTGTCTTAATTTGCATATCTTTTTTTTTTATCAACTTAAATTTGCTACTATTGATTTAAAAAAAAAACCACACAATTTCATAAAAACACCTATTAGATGTGTACTAAACATCATACAAAAATTGTTTGGTTTTGTTAATAAAAAAAACAAATTTACACTACAAAATGTGTCAGTGTTGTGTTCAGCTTGAAAAGAAATCGCATTATCACAGATGCAAGCCTGCTATTCCCCTACTCCCAGCGTTACTCATTTTTTATAGCACCCACCTCCATCCAGTAGGTACAATATAGAATAAAAACAAAAGTTAAATAAAACTTGGAGCTTCTCCTATTCTGTTCAATGTGTCATACTTTCATTTATAAATATTTTTATTTTTTTTTTGTAAGAGCAAGAACAATATATTCTGGTCGTTAATGGGGCAAAGTAAAATTGCGCATCACAAGTGCATGAATTCTATTAACAAATATTTCTTCCAGTTTCAATATATGTAACTGTGAGATGGTATAAATTCAAATAAAGACTCTGTTTGAAATAGAATGTATCTTTTACCACCTTATGGGGCACTCTGAGACTTAAACTCTTTAAATGAAACAATTTTTCATTAAATTTCCTTTTATTTTTTTTAAAGTTGAGTTTTTAACTTAAATCGAGCATTTAAAAAATATAGTTACTCCAAAAAAAAAAAAAAGTCATTGAGTCATATTAAGAAATATTCAGAAGCTAAACTGTATTTGTTCAAATGCTTAAATTTAACTTTGAAAATCATNCCCCCCCCCCCCCCCAACCGAAACCCCCAAACCAACATTAAACACTTATGTTGTCAAAGTGGTTTCCGGTGTGAAATGATTACAAGATTACAGTCTTACCTGAACGCCTGGCGCTTTTTTCTTTGACATGTTCTAAAATAGAGCAGGGAAAATCGCAAAATATTCTTTAGACATGCAATTAGTTGAATTGAGGCTATATTTGCCAGCATAAATTTAAAAGTGTTTTTTTTTTTTTCCAACCTGAAAAGATACATTTTTTGCTCATTCAAAGACTTCTGTTTTTAGCGTCAACTTTTCAGAACATCTTATCCTAACAAACCTGTAGTATTTGACAAGTACCCTATAATTTATTAAGACTATCTGAAGTAGGTGAGGCTGAAGCTCCCTAGCAAATATAAACAGAGGTGGCAACATGTCGTAATCGTAGTAATAGCGATTTTTAAAAATCTATTTGATGATTATGACGAGAAGGGGTAACCATGTAACTAAGATTGTAATGTTGGCGTCATTTTGGCGATACTCGTCGGTTTTGATTGACCAACTTTCTTTTTTACTTTGACCCCTCGAGCTGTTAACACAACTAAAAATGACTTTACCCATATTAATAAATCTGATATTTTTAGCTTATGCGATTTATTACTACGAAATTCTTTTATTGTTGAGTTTAAGTTAAAATGAGAATATATATCATCAAAAATGGGTGCAATTTAAAAATAAACCAAAAAAAAAATAAATCATTGCAGCATATACCTTGGGGACTTGTGACTGTTTGTACAGAAATTTCAATTAAAAATGTTTAGCTTACAAAGTCATACGATTAGACCATTTTATACCAATTTGTATTGACACTTATAGAAACGCCAGTCTTAATTTATAGCAGTAGTCACAAAAAGCTCTAATCGACGATTTATTTATGGCTATAAAATGTGTTTCGTTGTGACGACATTAATAAAAACCCAAATTCTGCAAAGCTTATTAATGTTTGAAATCGACTGACTGAGAATCCCACCTACCTCCTAAATTTGCTATGTAAATAGGAGGCTTAGTGTAAGTAATTTGTAAATCTTACTTTAAATATGCATGTCCCTAATTTTAAAACAAATGAAAAAAATGTGACCTTCCCGAAAGTGAAATCAATTTTTATTTTAATTTGTTCTGTCCGCTTTTATTGGGGAGGCGTCCCGTGGGAGTATATTTAGCGAACTTTGGCAAGTTGTGAACCTTGTGTACTTTCATATTTTGGACTTTGAGTTTGTCTTTAACTCAGCCAATTCACCCCCGTTGTTGTCTTCTTCTGTCCTTGAATCAGGAGTGCCCTCTGTTGTACACATACTCTGCAGTTTGACCAAAAGGAATTCTGACCTTGTGACTAAACAAGGGCTTTTGTTGTATGACCATTTCATACTTATTCGTGTGGCACAAAACATTTGTCTTCCTTTCTGGTAGCTAATGTGTTTCATTCTAATTGTACCAACTTACTGCCTTATACGTATCACCGAGCAGGTGATGAGATCCCGTTCTGACACTTGTAAGTAAGAGTTAGAATAAAGACGGTGTTAATTATTCTGCCTTTTTTAAATCTCAATTTGTATATCTAGGTTTTGGGGCCGCTTAGTCCATGAATACATTTGTATCTGCATTTTTATCACCGTCTTCACGGAAAATGATTCCTTGTTACATAAGTTGCTGGCGTTTTGGGGACAATTGACAATTGATAAGTATGTCCTGATTTTCTGGGGTAAGACCTATTGACCATAACGTCACTCTTATCTGTGCTGATTTGCATCTCATAAAGCTTGAAGGTATCATCATTATCATCATGTCACTTAGTCCTTGAACCGTTGGGGCACCATAGATGACATGTAAACTATCCTCCTCCATACGTCTCTGTCTTCTGCACTGCGCACAGCATCACCCAGTGCTAGTCCTGTTCACTCTTTGATGTTATCCTCCCACCTTTTTCTCTTTATCTTCCTCTTCTTCTCCCTCCTCTTGTGGTGCCCTGCAATATTTCTTTGGCAAGCCCTTGTTTCCTAGTTACGTGGCCGTACCATTGTAGTTTGCGTTTTTTCCCAATCACCAGTAGGTCATCGTACTCCCCAATTGCCCGACGAACCCTTTCTTTCACTGTATCATTGGAGATATGGTCCCTATGGCAGATGCGAAAATGCTTCTGAAGCATCTCATCTCCCTCGCCTTTATTTTCCTTTCAAGATCGGCTGTTAATGTCCAGGATTCGCAGGCATACGGGAAAATGGAGAGCGCATCAGCCTGATTTGGGGGCTATATTTTTGTAATTCGATATTTTTTTAGCCTCTTTAGTGTTGTTGTAGTCTGCGCAATCCTGGACATCAGTTCGGGCTTGGGGCCTTCTTCTGAAACTATTTGAAGCGGCCGACAGTCTCTAATCTTTCCTTAACGACCTTAATTTCAGTGGTGTTATTTGTCATCAGTTTTGTC